TGCGTATATATAATATATATATATATATATATATATATATATATATATATATATATATATATATATATATATATATATATATATATTCATGCTAGATTATGACTTGTTTAATTTTAACATCATTTAATGGACTTTGGTCAACCGTATTAACCTCTCGATATCATATATTTATTAGGTGATATCATATTTTTAAAATCATCCCCCTAACATAGGCGGAAAACTCCATGTGACTTCGCATCTTATCTTATAACCTTTGCTCCTAATTTTGAATTTTCCTGTTGAACGGTCAACAATTTGGTTGGACCCCTAGATAGGGACTATTACAACGTACACACACATACACAACATATATATATATATATATATATATATATATATATATATATATATATATGTTGTGCGTGTGCAACTATCATTTGTTTCGATTTCATGTACATCATTCAAAATGAGAAAAATAAAGCAAAAAAGATTTTAGCTTTCAAAAAGATAAATTCTTGCACTTAGGATAGGATGTATGTACTATATGTATAAGTTTTTAAAGATGGAGCCTGAACGATCGATAGAATTATAATTAATGATGGTTCTAGTTTATAGTTTAGTTTTAGAATCGAATCATGAAAGAATTGATTAAAGTTCAATCTTGGTTTTGGCCAATATTTCATCCGGGTTTAGAAAATGTGAAAACAAACTGAAAATTATTTCGCAATTTCAAACAAAATATTTTCTCGTTTTCTTGTATATTCGTTTCAGGTACTAAACTATATAGACGGAGCCATATATAGGACATATGCATGCATGTTGTCTCCATTAGGACACAATTAGCTTTAATCTCCACGTACATGTCTCGGGTCCATGCAAAACCCATCTTTCGTATTGTCTTTTTACTACTTTGCAAGGTTCTCTCCTACTTTTTACTTTTATCAACTTTTTCAAAAAACTTTTATTTCTTCTTCTTATATATATATATTTATTAAATATTACTATTATTATTTGGCATTCTGCAGAATTATTTTAACCGCTTCAAGGCACAAACTCTCATGTGGCATAACAGGAACCAGACATGCAAGATTCTTATTGAAGTATACGTACGTTTTTTGTACTCATCGTTGAAGTCCATAATCGTCTAAGGCTTTTGAAGACCGTTTCACAGTTTTTGTACAAGCATCGATCAAATCGCTACCACATAGAATAATCACTCGCATAATAAATTGCACATGCATCTTATCTCATACATGGGATGTCTAAAATTTAAATATATAATCATTATCTTTTACGAAATTTTCAAGGGTTGATTTTTCCCCCCTCTCTTCGCAATTCAAAGGTGGGTTCGAGGATGGTGAAGAAAAGTGATAAACAGTCCACTATTCAGATCAAAAGAATTCAAATATCTAATGAATAATATTTTACTTATAGCATATGATACCCATAATGTGTTGGAATACATGGGGGACAAAAACTATATAGGTCACTACGAAGAAACAACAGAATTGACAGATATATGTTACAGTGCCACGCCCCACATTTTTTGAATTATTTATATAAAAAACAAGAAAAAGTTGATAGAAAATATGAATTAAAAAGGGAACCAAAATGAGAAAATCTATACAATAATCATAAACCAATAAATTATCGCCACGTGTTCAGTGGGCCTAGTTTCTCCACGTGGAGGCCCCAGGTTCCGGTCGCAGCTCGCTAAGAGGGAAGAAGTGGGTCCCCACATCTGAAAAGCATCTCGTCACGTGAACATCCCACGTGACACTGACACCTTTCCATGAAACGACGACGTCTCGTACCCCATAATGTAATCCGTCGTCGTTTCGCTCACGAGCGTCTCGAGGATTTGTCTCTCGAGCTCCGTGACAACCCCTTCGCCTTCCTCTTCGAGCGCCAACTCTCTCTCAGCTGCCGTCTCCGGCAAGTCTCCAGCGACCAGAGCATCAATATCTTCGAGAACCCGACAATTCGATAACGGGAACTCCCCGATTCTCCGGCACAGCTCGTCGACCAGCTCCGACCCGCGAAGATCCTGGCGAGATCGAATCGGGTAATGGCTAACCCACGGTTTCATGTTCATGTGACGCTTTAAGACATCGACGAGGATCTCATCGACTAAATGGAACAGTAATTTCCTGTTACACCGGAGACCCATGTTTTCCGTCGAGCTCTTGGTTCGTGCCGATGTGATGGCGAAGTGTTCGAGGAAGTAGAAGATTGATGGGTCGAGAGGATGGGAAGGAGAGAACCATTTCGCGTGGGAGATTGGTGTGTCTTTGTCGATTCCGGTTCGCCGTAAGATTCTGGTGACGTAATCAAACTCGGCGGCGGAGGTTGTAGTAGTTGTGGTGATATGTGTTCGGACAATGTGAGTTTGAGTTTGGCTCGGACAACTAAGAAACTCTGATGCTCTGTTTCTCGGTGGTTGCTTTGCCGTGACCTTTAACGCACCCACATGTAAGTTTGACTGCAATAAACATTAAATTTATCAAACCTCTGTTCCTTGGAAACTCCATATTAAAAAAAAAAACAAAACCATTAAAATCATCATTACAGATAAGGATAATGTAATAAAATAAGGGGAAAAAGAACAAAGTGAATTAGTTACCGGGTCATTCTTGAAGGGAAGAAGAGATGGAACAGTGGTGAAGTTCGAGAGTGGGGTTTTCCTGCACTTCTTGTCTACTTGATGATGACGAAGACTAGTAGAATTCGATGCTCTGTTACCGGCCGGTGATCGAACAAATGGCTCCTCTTGCATGGTCTGAGGCGGCTTCACCATTCTCGAACCGAATCTCATCTCCTTCTCCGGTTTCTTGCACTTGCTCACGTTCTTTCTTCGTGCTTCTCGTTCTTGCTTTTGTTCTTCTTCCTGTCCCTGTTCTGCCTGCTGCTCCTCTTGCACTGCCCTTAACCTTGGTTTCTCTTCCACGATCTGACAGACATTTGCCCGCGAAGGTTGATTTGTTTTCGGGCTTTCCAACGTTCTCGATCTTGGAGATGAGTCACTGGTTGTGTTCTTGGAAGCTTTCTTGGAATCTTTATGATGATGGTGGTGACCGTAATCTCTGGTTTGTTCTTTGTTTCTTGTTGTGTTTGTGATGTCAGTGCCCATTCTCCGACTGACGCTCTCCTTCAGCTGCATTACGATCTGCCTCGCGTATTCTCTCGGACTCCGATTCTCTTTATCGTCGTTCATCTTCCTCTCTTTCAGCCTCGAGCTCGAGAACCGGACGTGCCCGTGTTCTTGTTCTGATTCAGACACGTTCATGTCTCTGTTGATGCGAAGAGACAACCTGCGTTGCTGGTAACAGTCCGCGTCCGATCTTCTTCCCAACGAAATCCTCGGCGTCTCGGGGAGAGAGCGAGTTCCTCCGTCCACGGAATTTCTGTGGAGAGAATAATAATGTTTGTGTCTTGTACTATGGCGTCTTGTACGGAGATCCCTTGTTCCAAGATCAATGGATAAGGCTGAAGAACAAGAAGATGATGATGGTGAGTTGAGGGATTTGTCGGGAAGAAGATCGAGACCCATCAGTCTCGCGACCAAAGTTGGTGTCTTTGTGCTTGGAGAATAAGATTCGTTGCTTGAATTCGATTCGAGCTTTGATGTTCTTGTTGGTTTGGTCTTGATTTGCATACCCAAGTTCTGGATTTAAATTTCCAAAAAAAAAAAGGTTAAAGAAAGATGTGAAGTGTGAATATATATACATTGATTAGTAATAAAAAACTTTTTTTAAATATATGATTATCTGCATGATTGTATGAAAAAAAAAAGGGGGTTCTTTCAAGGGATAAAATAAAATAATAAGATGTGGGAAGCCCAAGAAGATATAATTACATTACATGAACCTATATAACAATTTCTATTTTTTTTTCAAATGAATAAATAACAATAAAACATATTAGTTAGTCACTCACCGAGAGATTCAAATTATTATCTCTACGGAATGGTGACAATGGAGTCTCCCCTGCCGATTCAAAACTATTCCTCGGCGCCTCCACTCCTGAATTATCAACAGACATTATTAACACTACACATAAAAAATCAACTGTATATATACATATAAACACATACACAAACACATACACGTGTGTGTATGTATATATATGCGAATGCACCTTTAGGAAGAGAGAGATGCTGAGGCAAATCGTCATGGTCGATCGGACGGTGGTGATGGGTCGTGACGGGGAAATGGAAAAGGTGGAAATCGAACAAGTGAAAGACAGCATTCATACAACCTGCGACGGTTGCGCCATGCGTCTCCTTCGTCACATTACTCTTACTCCGGCGGCTTCCGTTCTCATTCTCCGCCGTCTTCTTCTTCGAAGTTCTTCCTCCGCCACCGCCGCCGGCGACTGATCTGTACCACTCTCTTCCCATTTTTCGACCGGAAACGACGAAAAGATTCAATGGGTTTTCGTGTTTTTGTTTTTGGTGTATATATATATATAAATATATGTATGTATGTGTGTGTGAAGAGAAGAGATGGAGGAGGAGACGCAGTGAGTTTAGAATAACTCGCAGAGTGTTAAGTGCGTTATAAAAGGAGAAAGATGGAAAGAGGCGGAGAAATCGGGTCCTTTAAATACTCTATATATTTAGTTTTATTTTATATTTCAGTGATTTTTTTTTTAGTTTTTATTACCGCAACATTGTATATTTGTTTTTGTAAATATAAAAATTCATATGTATTATCAATGAAAACGATAGAAAAATAAATTATGGTAAGTGGGGGTCGGGTGGGCCTCGTCGTGGTGGCATCGTTTGGCTGTATGTTATTCCTCTGTCTCTCTGTGTATATATGTACAGATGAAATGTATATTATTTAAAATGTTTTTTTTCAAACATTTAATAAGATTTCTTTTATCTAGACATTAGATTGAGGGTAAAAAAAGGCTAATTATATATAAATGATTCGCTATAAGTTTCATAATATAAAACAATGTTTGAACTGACAAATATATCATATATTATTATACCAAAAAAAATATATCATATATTAAAAATTCCATAACTGCATATTCTAGTTTCTTGAAGCAGGACATGTTTTTAGACCGTTGTAATGGTATATTTCACATGCATATCCAAATTTAATCTGAATATTTGCATACTTCAAACATATATAAATATATATATATATAATCATATATATATATATATATATATAGGTCTGATATTAGAGAAACTCAGATTACAATAAGATTCCCACAGAAGTGCAGGGCTGAGGTTCCCAAACAACGAGGTCCCTTGTTGGGGATCTTCAATTATGACCGTTATGTTTCAAAACTATGACGTCTCCTTTCCCTCTCGTTCAATTTTTATTCTATTTTTTCAATTTGGTCTTTTTTTTTTATAAAAAAGCCCATTCTCTTAACTGCTAACCCTAAATATTAATTAATATCAACTACTCCCTCCGTTTCATTTTTTATATCCTTTATCCTTTGACACTTACCATTGAAAATTGTTATTTCTAAATATATAAAACATTTCAACAATATTAATTAAGAATAATTTTGAAAAAAACCAATAAAAATTACATAAAAAAATCTCAAAACATCATTTATTTTGAAACAAAAATATTATTATAAAACGTCATTTAATATGAAACGGATGGAGTAGTATTAATCATCTCATATTGTGTATTACGCCACTATTTAGTCCGCTAAACCGCGTATTTTTGTAACCACCGTATTATACTAATACAAATATATATTTACATAAAAAGATTTGGAATTTATATTTTTTTAAGCGATTGTTTATACCCACAAATCAGCCACTATAGGGCATGGGACCGAATAGTTATGCTAATTAAGTGAGTGTGGCCAATGTGAATCACATGAAGGGGGTGCGGTCATAATAGTACGACCCATTTTTGTCCTTAGACAAAAAAAAATACAATTAATTTTAATAAATGAAGTAAATAAAAGAAGGAAGAGAGAAATGAAAGAAACCCTAATGGGATATTGTATATATGCGTCTGTAGTCTCATACTAAGAAAAATCCCACTTGACATTTTGGATCTTTGTATAAAACATTAAAGCCCCTCCTGCAAATTTAGCCATGGCTAAAAGGGACCACACTCCCTAACCTATACAATAAGGACGAACTCCAAATATTTGCAAGATTCAAAAATTAATATTCACAAATTCCAGACCAACACCGTATTTTCAATACCGGCTCTTCTTCTTTCAAGTTTTTACATTGTATACCAAACCGAATCAAACCGGTCTTATAGTTCAATAAATAGCAGAAGAAACAAGTTTACCGGTACGAGACATAAGAAAAAACTTTAATCAAGGGTTTGCTGCGAGATAATCTACCAGATCTGAAACCAACCGTTCTCGAAGATAATTTTTTATTTATCTAAACATATTTCTCTAAATTTGGATTTGAATTCAAAGCATACACTTACCACGAGGCCACCAAAATTTAAAATAACTTTAATTACTTGTTGTATTCAATTTTACTTTTTCAAAGATTTATAAGGAAGCTATATGTTTTTAGGGGTAAAAAATATATGCATATACATATATATATATATATATGTATAATATTTATGTATGTATATTTTGAGTTGGGACTGACGGATCAGAAATTTCAATCAACGGGTTCAGAGCATTATTTCATCGTAACAGTTTCGAGGAAGAATTTATTTAAGTTTCGAGAGAGAAAAAGGGACGAACAGGAAAGTCTGGTCGTACCATGTACTTACCGGGCCGACTTCGGTTACGTTAGGAATGATCTGACTAATCCCGGTGTACGGTTCTCAGAAAACCGGTTAGCGTAAACCGTATTGGTACGGCGCATATCCGGTTCAGCTCGGTTTAACCGCACTGTTTAACTTCCCGCATTATTTTCTAACCAATTAAATGCGAGAAAAATGAAAACCCTAACGTGTAATGAAATTTGCAAAAAACATAAACATACATAGTTCAATAAATGCTGTGTCGGACGGAAAACAGAAACCATACATGAATATGTGCACTTGGCGAACACATGTTGCACCTAACTTGACCTATATAGTTTATGTATTTTTGGACACACTAATTTAAAAAAAGACGTACCAATCGGCTGCACATATTTTTTGGCTTCATTAATTCACGTTTCATGAAAAAGTATAACACAATTTAAATAGTGCGAAATTGTACAAATCTCATGGTTACTTTGCAGAAAACAGTTCAAGTATGTATGAAATGATCGTTTTAATTTTTTTTTTTAAAATCCATATATTTGTTTGTTTGAGATTTAAATAGATAAAAAAATTTCAAGAAACCACTACATCTTATCGATATATATATATATATATTCAGACAAATAGGATTCTACGAAACATAGAAACGAAAATAGAAATTAACTGTGAAATGGGACATTAAAAAAAGCTGGGATTGTTGTTCTTAACCACAAATATAAAAAAATTAGTGATTTTATATCACCGTGACACAATTTCTAATGATAGAGAATATGTGGTGGGGCCCAATAGTTTACGGGCTAACGTTGAGGAGGCCTATTAGGTTAATACATGAAGGCCAGCATAATGGGCTTTGTGCAAAAAGACATATATCTCCTTCGCGATAATCGCGTATTTAATTACAATTAATGTGTGGTCTAAAATCTTGATCCAACTTTTGAGGAATTCCATGATTTCGGTGAGTTATTATAAGAATAACGGATAAGAGCAATACTTAACATAGAATAAGAGCTAAGACCAACAATAGATTTTGAGGGTCCAACCCATCAACCCATTATTAATTTGAATTTGAATTTGAATTTGGTTAAATGGGCCTTGCTTTCTTATTGGGTTTAAACAGATTAATGGACCAACTCCGTTTTTAGGTTTTCAATACATTACTTTCGAAATATTTGTGATTTTATCATATATTTGAATAGATTTACAACAACAAATATATATTCACGTGTGAAAATAACGTGGCAGCTACCGGCGGGGCCCACCCATCGTGGCTTTCTCTATCCTTTCGCTTTACATTTCTTTCATCCATCCATCCGATTCCATAGGTTTTATCGATTTCGTTATTTACTCGAAAACCTTATGTTATCTTCAATATTTCATAAATAAATAAAAAGTTCTCTAACCTCTTCACACTCATTTCTCTCTAGACTTGGGTTGGGTCCCTCACTTCAGTTAGTCATGAACCCTAAGTTCACCATCAAAGTTCATTTTTCTGGGCTATGCACAATCCTTCTACTCCTCCTCCGTCGAGCCACCGCCTCCGCCGACGTGATCCGATGGCCGCATCCGCCGCCGTTGCCGGTACTTCCCCTCCCATCATTCTCTCAGCTCAAATGGCAAGAAAGAGAGATCATAATATTCCTCCACTTCGGCATCAACACCTTCACCGGTTCCGAGTGGGGGACCGGCCGTGAGACCCCCTCCCTGTTCGACCCTCGTGGCCTCAACGCCTCTCAATGGGTCGAAACGGCTCGTGACGCCGGAATATCCCTCGTCGTGCTGACGGCGAAACACCACGACGGGTTTTGTCTCTGGCCGTCTAAGTACACCGACCACTCCGTCAGGAGCAGTCCGTGGAGGAACGGCGGCGGAGATGTCGTGGAGGAGCTCGTCCAGGCGGCGGTGGCTCACGGCGGAGGAAAGGTCGATGTGGGACTGTACCTTTCGCCGTGGGATAGACATGACATGAGATACGGCAACGAGAGGTTGTACAACGAGTACTACTTGGCTCAGTTGCAAGAATTGCTCACCAAGTAATAACGTTAATTTACTTCAAAAACTTTCGTGGGTCATCTTTCGTTTTTTGTTTTTATTAGTCAAGTTCTTGATTTATATGTGAAAAATCATGGGGTTGAAAAAGGTATGGGAGCGTGAAGGAGATATGGTTCGATGGGGCCAAAGGTGCAAATGCACCAAACATGTCGTATCACTTCGGGGAGTGGTTCCAAATGGCTAAGGAGCTGCAAAGATCAATCAACATCTTCTCGGACGCTGGCCCTGATATCAGATGGGTCGGTAACGAACATGGGTTCGCCGGTTCGACTTGTTGGTCGTCCATCAACCGGACCTTGCTCTCCATTGGAAGCTCGACCACTCTCGGGTCAGTCATCACCACATATATATTCATTTCAATCCACTTCTGTATCTCTTTCTTTTTGCTAATTTGTGAGGGTTGCTGCAGATATCTGAATTCAGGAGACCCAAAGGGGACAGATTGGGTGCCGGCAGAGTGTGATGTCTCGATCAGACAAGGTTGGTTTTGGCACAAATCACAGTCTCCGAAGAAGCTAAGTGAGCTTCTAGAGATATACTACAACTCCGTGGGAAGGAACTGCGTTCTTCTCATCAACGTCCCACCAAACACAACCGGTCTCATCCCTGAACCCGACGTCCAAAGATTGAGGCAGTTCAGATCCGTACTGGACCGTACATTCTCCAAAAACAAGGCAGAGAATTGTACGGTGAGAGCTAGTAGCCAAAGGGGTGGGCAAGGAGGTGGCTTCGGACCAGAAAACGTAATCGACAAAGACCATATGTGGACATACTGGTCACCGGACGAAGAGATCGACGATGGCAGTGACCATTGGATCGAGATGACGTGTCGAGACAAAGGGTCGAGATTCAATGTGGTGAGGATTCAGGAGGCAATAGGGTTAGGACAGAGAATCAAAAGACATCAAGTATACGTAGACGGTGAGATGGTGGTAGAAGGAACAACAGTTGGGTACAAGAGGCTTCATAGGCTTCCACGTGGCACTGTCACTGCCAAAGCGGTGAAGATCGTGATCAGAGACTCCAAAGACTTGCCTCTACTTTCTTCAGTGGGTTTGCATTTTGATCCTTACTGGCACCCAATTAGAAACTAATTTCGCTGTTTTTAATCAGAATAAACGGTCCATATTTGCTTGTACATGATGATCATCGGTGTGAATCAATATATATATATATATATTCTCAGACATTTTTTTCATCAATATCTCTAACCAAACAAAACTGAGACTGAGGGAGGACCAAATCCTCTTCGAGGTTCTTGAATCAAAACTAATGAAATACGTTTCATAAATGTAAAGAGTTTCGGAATCTTCCAAGAAGGGAACGAAGGGTTTTCACCATCTTTTGCCACCTCCGCCGCCACGGCCGCCAAATCTGTTGGTCCGTTGACCGGAGAAACCACCGCCTCTGCCACCGCCGAAACGGTTGCCACCGCCAGAGAAGCCTCCGCCACGGCCAAACCGTCCTCTCGATTGCTCTCTCTCCTGAAGACGTGGCAACTCCTTCACAACCTGCAAGCTCACATTGGCTGCATTTTGCTGCCCTGCAGATTTTGTATTCACTTCGTCATTAGATTCGAAAAAGAACCCAAGAACTCGAATATGTATATATATGGAAGATGATGCAGAGAAGGCCGCATGGGATGTAATACCTTCAAGGAATGTGTCTAAATCTGATTGTGGAACATCGAACACAGCACCCATCCCATCTGCCGTAAGAGTCATCCCTTCAATGGAATCGACCTTCTCTTCCGGCATGAATCTCCTCAGCACCCCGAACGCAAATCTGCCCACATTCATAACATACATAAATCACATGTTCAAGAAGAGACATGTGGCAAGCGTCCACAACTGAACCCGCCAACATAACATAACATAACATTAGACTCTCTGAAGAGTATTCAACTTCAACTTCTCTCACTATAACTACAAAAAAAAAAAAAACTAATTGCCCCCTGTTCTAGAACATGGGTTATTAGAATTTAGAATGATACTTTCGAACAGATGAAGTCATTGGTCAAAATATGAGATTTGAGTAGCTTAACCTAAGGAAGATGAAGCCGATAGATGGAACTTACGATGGGGTGTAGATGGGTTTCCCAGCTTCAAGAAGCAAAGTTACATGGTTCTCCATGGAAGTAAGGAGCGATCTCTTTTTAATCTCTGTAAAACCCTGCACGTGTAGCGAAATTCAAGACCACGTACTAAACATGAAATCCGTGCTGAAGAGAAGAATTCCATTCAAAGAAAAAAAAAAACTAAACTCACCGCAGCTTTTGCAAGGGCTTTGGCAAGAAGTTCTTCAGCTGATAGACCAGAAGTTTCCAACAATTCCTTGGCCGCCGGCAGAAAAGCAGGAACGACGCTGCAACATCAGAGTATTATTTCAGAACTTTGCAACACTTCTTCAAAGACTTCTAATTATTCAAACAAAGAAGCACTACCTGTCACAGACTTGTGTAATTTTCTCAGCAGCTTCCATACCGACCGCTCTGGCGATATCATCAGGCTGAGGAGCAGAAATGTGCTCAAATTTCACACCAGCTTCTCTTTCAATCTTTGATATGTTGGACTTCCTCGAGTCATACAGCATAACAGCAACTCCAGTGTTGCCTGAATAGAATAATTCACAAATGCTTCAAGAACAATTCAACAGCAGCAAAAAGGTAGAAAAAGCAATCCAAGAATTTTTGCTTTACCAGCTCTTCCTGTACGTCCAGACCGATGAATATATGCCTCGACATCACGTGGAGGCTCACACTACACCAGAGATGAAATATGATTTCAGACCAAAGAAAAAGTGTGACAAAATATTACTGCAAAGGAAAGCTCATCAGCTGTAACACACCTGGATAATGAGTTGCACATCATTGATATCTAGCCCACGGGCTGCAACATTCGTAGCCACCAACGTTGAGAAATTTCCCTTCCTAAATCCAGCAAGAGTAACCTGAAACCAGAAGACTCAGATTCAGCAAATTCTTGTTTCTGGATCAACAATCAAGAAAGGGTAGAAGGCCAGATGATTCCCGACTGCACTCCCAGTAATAGACAGATCCTGAAAAGCGAGGAATCTAACACAAATATTACATACCTCACGCTGTGATTGTTGAATGTCACCATGCAACGCTCGTGCTCCAGGCAACAAACCAGAAAGCTCAGAGGCAGAATCCTTAGTCTCAGTAAAAATAATGGTACGGCCTCCACTGCATATCAAGGTATACATATATATTCATTAAAAACTGCTAGATTTGGAGTTTACGAGAAGAAACTAATGAATATAAATTGGTACAATCAACAATCACAGACAACCAATTACAAGTGCTGACCTGCTGTAACAACGGATGACATCAGGTATCAAACGAGACATGGCTTGTTTATTACAGGGAAGAACAATATGCCTGACATTGGTACTGGCCTTCATTTTCGCGTTGCCTACAAGATCAATAGTTTTCTTGTTCGGTTTAAGAAACCTAGAAGAAATCTGGAGAAAGCAAGCAAGGTCTCAGCAACATATAGAAAGGAACAGAAGAGCAAAATACAATCGGATAATCAGAATGATGCTGATTCAAGAATGAAGAGAGTATATTGAAGAGACTCACATTCTTCACCCAATCTGGTAAAGTAGCACTGAAAAGAAGTGTCTGAACCTTAGTGGCATCCTGCACCTTCCCTGAAGATTTTGACAGAAATTATAGGGAGTTTCAAAATAAGATTCTTGAAATTCAAAAGAATCCCGCAACCAAAATAACATACCCAATATGAGTTCAACATCCTCAACAAAACCCATTCTCAACATTTCATCAGCCTCATCAAGAACACGGAACTTTAAAAAGCTCAGGTCAATGTTACCCCTTTCAATGTGATCCTGCATCAAATTTTGATGAAAGCATTAAAACATCAGTACAACATATGAAACGAGACAGTAAGAACTACACAAAACTGTTTGTTTCGTGCATACACAGATCTCAGAACCCAAAGGAGCTCCTGGAGCACTCAAACTGATGTATAAAAATCAAATGAAGACTTTACCTTTATCCGACCAGGGGTTCCAACGACAATATCTACCCCTCGCTTTAACTTATACTCCTGAGGCTGGTAGCTATCGCCTCCATAGAGACAGCAGGAAGACAGCCCCACTGCCCCTCCGTACACATCAAAATCAGCAAAAACCTTGAGAGAAAAATATACCATCAGTACAAACCTTAAAAGCACATCAAATTGTATCAAAGTTTCTATTTTTCAAATGGAAGTCACAAAAGCATTCGTCCCGAATCAATACCTGCTTAGCCAATTCTCTAGTTGGTAAAAGCACCAAAACACTCGGAGGCCTGCCATATCCAGTCTTCCTGGAGGCATTCGAAGGTCCATTTGTCAATGACTCCAAAATAGGTAACACAAAGGCGAGTGTTTTACCCTGCACAAGACCAGATTTGATCAGCCAAGCCCCAAAAAAATTGAACAATATCATCACGCAGAAATTCAAATTACAGAAACCAAGAATCCTCATAAATTTACAATCACTGCACATGACTGAAAGTTTCAAAATTTCTAACTCTATGTACTCAGTAGGCAGAAAACACCACAAATCTACTTCAAGCTTCACCACTACATTCTCCTACTACAGGACTTCCACATTGAGAACTAACACATGCGAAGATATAAACTTCAACAGTAATACAACTTTGATTACAACAGTGAAGCGTGAAGAAGCAAATAGACTAGGAGATGCCCAACACAAGTTTCTGGACACAAAGTCGACACTACCTAGACGATTAAACAAAAGAAAAGATACAGATCGCCGACAATACCTGACCAGTGCGAGCGCGTCCAACCAAATCAGAACCGTCGAGAACCATGTCAAACGTCATCGCCTGAATCGGAAACAGCGCCGCGATTCCCTTCTCCTTTAGCTTATTCACCACCGGCGTCGAAATACGAAACTTCGTGACGGCGTTAGGGTTCTCCTCCTCTTCCTCCTCTTCATCAACTTTCGCCTTTTTGTTGCTCTTCTTCTCCACCTTGGAACTCACCGGCTCCACTAATTCAGAGCTCGTGTCGCTCTTTTCCTCCTCCGATACATCCATCTCCTCCGCTTTGCGCTTCTTCCGCTCCTTCTCCTTCTTCTTGCTCTTCTTCTTCTCCGATTCCTCCTCCGAATCGGAGAGTTTCAGCTTTGCTTCCTTCTTTCCCTTCTTCGAATCCCACTCTGGGGTCTCCAGAGCAACCTTCTTCTTCATCTTCTTCTCCTCTTTCTTGTCGGATAAAACAAGGGATGGCATAGATTTGACTGAGGCGAAGAACACGAAGACGAAGGAAAATCTCTCCTGCTTCCGAGAGACTTTGAGGCGGTTTCAAGCGCAGAGAAGCAGGCAGAGATTAACGAGGAAGAGGAAACTAGGGTTTCACCCTCCCTTTATAGTTTTTCGCTCTTTAGGACGTTCTGACCTAAACCCTAACTCCTAACTGCAATCTTGTCCGTTGAATTAGAAAATCTTTAGCCTCAGATTGCCGTTTCCTTATTGTTTCCTCAACAACATGCCGTTTCACATTTACGACAGTAGAATACGCGTCGTTTCGATTTTACAGGTAGTTGCCACTTGCCAGCGCATTACGCGGAATTTTTAAGTTCCTTTTTTTTTTCTTGTTTACACAAGTAATAGATAGCTCAATTAATATAAGTATACCTAGTTATTTTATATCAAAATTGATGTGAAATATATAAAATTGTTGTCATGCCATAGAAGAAAAGTCAAACATAGAATTGAAAAAAATTGAAAAAACCATAAAACAATTAAAAGAGGTCAGAATTTATTACAAACATGAAATGAAACAAAATCAAATAAAACGTAAATCCTATATCTAACCGAAAAAATTAGTCTCACAAAAAAGTATGCAACAAATTTGCATTTATAACAAAAAAATTATATATTAGCATCAGATTCTAAATGGACTATGAAAAAACAAATAGGTAATATGATAAATAATCATAACACAATCAACACTGTAAATCTGAATTCGTATAAAACAATATAAATAAAGAGAAAAATCTATGCACACATAAATTTGTGATCACCAAACTAAATCAACCATAATTTTGAAAGCAAAGTGAATAAAATATATGCATAATACTAGAATGCTGTTTCATACTAGAATATACGAGTGCGAAATATACCATAAAATGTACACGACCGACATTTTGGACATTCAAATCACTTAATCTAAATCATCAAGATACAAACTTTTTTCCCCAAAGCGCACAAAAACAAATTTGAAAACACAATATACGTCACCTTCAAATTTTTTTTTCCCAACATACGAAGTTGCAAAGAAGAAAATTTTACCTTTTTCACCTCAAAGATCATATACCACAACCAAGTCCGGGTTTTGAGTTCTGGCACTGCCATTTCTCTACGAACCGGTCCGAGCTTTGACATGCAATCTCTAATATCTCTAAACATAAACTAAAACTCTTACCATCTTGAGGGAAGACCGCGAGCATTGGACCCAGTTCTCCAAGAGTCCTGGACATTCATTTATTATTCTACATATGTACTTTATGTTCATTAACATCCCCCACACAACCTTAACCCAGAACATCTTAGAAAAGCAATGCACCCATGATGACAAACCCTAGAAATATGAGCACAATCCGTCTGAGACCGATGGATAGGGTGTTAGATTCCGAGGCGCTGTTGCAGTAATTAAAACCATACCATATGCTTTCGGGAACATATGTGTTATAGGAGAAGGTAACAGCCCTTGAACCATGACTGTATATCTTCACACTCTCCGGGACCCAACCATCAGGACCAGACCTGTAGAGGTACATATAGCAAATCTGGTATGCACATGGTCCGTTAATCTGAAACGTGTCTGAAGAACATTGCTCGAATGTTCTTGTGGCTGGATCATCAACCCTCGGTGCGTAGATCTATATCAACAAAACAAACCCAGGTCAAACCAGAGCTTTCTGTTTAGCTTAATGAACCGACGTTAGAACTGAAAACAAAGTTTCTTGGTGATGGATATAAGATCAGATTTTAGAACCTAGTCACTTATATCCACTGAAACTCCACCCGTTAAGAATAAATAATCCTGTTATCATATCCAATGGTCTATGTAAAAATGCCAACACAACGTTCAAAGTTTGATATATATATATATACACACACATATATATTGATTCAAACTTGATCTTATTAGATAAACAAGCACCACAGACACAAAACTATATCTCAGTTGAACCAGAGACTTCCAGTTAAAACCCAGACCCATCTGACACTTCAACAAAGCAATGAAAGAAAAAGCTCTTAAACTAGTCCCGGGCAATTCACCGAAATTCGTATGATGTGTTTTCCCCTGGAAATTACAGGTAGCAATGCTTTATGGATTAGTCATGCAACCGATCAGGAAGATGGTAGAAATCTAGAGAAATAAAACTGAGTTAAAGATAGAAAATTTGAAGGAAAAAAAAAAACCATGATAAACAGAGTACACCGTGGAAACCGTGATAAATTATCAAACCGTAACTCGAAAAACTAAAACATGAAATGACCTCAAAATGGACTGCCACAAGATCGATCTGCGCAAAAACAGCTGCAGATTCTGCATACTAAGAATGTCTCCCAAAATAGGATCATCCGCATTAAAATTTTTACCGAGAAACTGTCGATCATCCTAGGTTTGATTGGGATCATGCGAAACCCTAAGCCTAAACGACCGACCAATAATTCAGACGACAATGAGCGCATCCCAATGAACTATTCCGCAAAAATGACCACATATTAGTTCAATAATCAAAATCTAGCACAGAGAAAAAACCTGATTTCCATAGCCGTCACCAAAAGCGATGCTGATCTGATCTCGCGTGTACCTCGGCGACGAACAGCTTGTCGAGATGATCACCGTGTAGCTACAGCTTCCTAAATTCTGCGTATCCCGTGAAAATTTCCAAACAGACAGATGGCGAAATCGTAAAATTTCCAGGAAATTTTGACACCAGTAGTCGAGAAAACCCATAAAATTCCCCGGGAAAACTCACACAAGCAGAGAAGAAATAAACCCTTACCTGGATGAGGCTGACATTGAAGGAATCGGCGGCATGAGGACCGAAGACGGACGATCCGGCGACAGAGACAAATGGTACGATCGCGAAGCATAGGAGAGTGAAGAGCCGTACGGACGCCATATTCGTGCTTCTTCTCGACATCGCCGCGGAGGACGAAGAGGAGAAATAGTAAGGGCCTTGTCTACGTGTCATCCCTTCCCTGGTTTCTTCAAATGTGTTATTTTCTTGAGAACAAGAACCGACACGTGGCACTTTAGAACGATGAATTCGATGTAATTAAATACTATTTTAAAATTATTAAATGGAAGTGTGTATGCGTATATACGATTGACCCCGTTGTACACACCGTGCTGTCTTTCAATCCATAATTATTTATCTTATCACTTAACGGTAACTCATAAATAACCCTTGTTTTTACATGGGCAGTAAAAATCATCACACCGAGAGTTATAAAGTGAGAAATTGTGTTTAAAAAAATTATAAATTTACAAAAAATATGAAAAATACGAGGAAGTGGGGAGAAAATTGGAAAGAAAGTGGTGGGTGACGTGGACGTATTTTCACCCGTGAACTCCACCTACTACTACCAGACAATCCATGCACTCCCGTCCTCTCTAACACGCATATCATCTCCAGACTTTTTACCATAAAAAAAAAACTTTGACCAGAAAAAAAAAATAAAGCTTAAATTTTTATAGTTTTCATCGACCTAGCAGTACTTATCCCATAAGATTTCTATCATTCTTTTCTACCCACAAGAGATTTTTCTCATTCTCGATGATGATACATATACACACATACATGCGTACGTACAAGACTCATAGATCCATTTCTTGTCACCGTCTCTTTGAAATCTTGGCAAGATACGACCGTATTTTCTTGGTTACGTACGTAGATTGAATATCATTCAAAACATACGTTCAACAACAGGTATGACGCAGATTTCATAGAAAAATAACTTAAAACCTACGCACAGACAAGACATACGCACACACAGACCGAGTCGATTCAATCTACCAAACACCACCAAAGTTAAACCGCCATGGAACCACGAAGAAGAACACTGATTGCACTCCCATGCATACACACATACTCGCATAAAAGTAAAACCCACTCTTACTTAAAACACCATTAACTTGAAGCTAAAACCCATCAGAACACCATAACTGCGACAACTCCAACAAGTCCCAGTACCAAGAGCTCGCCAGCCCGGAGGCCCGACGCGGCGGACGGTCGCGACGGTGGCGGCGGAGGGAACAACGGCGGTTCCGGAGGGAAAAGAGGAGGAGGCGACGGTGTGTGTGGAGGGAAATACGGAGGAGGTTGGGGACGAGTGTTGTTGCATTGATTCTTGCCGAACCATGTGTTTTCAGGGACACTGGTCCTGTCGAAATCGAATCTGACGGCCTTTTCGTCCTCGGAGTAGATCTCGACGTTCTCCGGGACCCAGCCGTCCGGACCGGTCCGGTAGATGTAGGCGAAGCAGATCTCGTTCAGGCATTGTCCTTTGATTTGGAACGTCTTCGTTGAACACTTGTCGAACGTTTCTCCTTCGTCAAGCCTTGGTGCATATACCTTCGCATAATATATTTAACGATTTCCGTCAAGCGTTGTAACGGCGTTAAGCGTCTGTTAGTTTCGAGGATAAGGCGGTGATTGTGGAAAACCGAACCGATCACATAAATTATCAAACCGGTAAAGAGAACCGGAATCGAAGTAGGACCGACCCAGATTCGAGTATAAAACCAACCTGGTTACCATCGTCGTCGCCGAAGGCGAGGCTGATATGATCTCGAGTCGAATCCGGCGAGACGCAGCTCGTCTTCACGATCACCGTGTACGGGCACTTCTCCTCCACCTTCTGCGGATTTTCTCGGAAATTTTCTCAGATTACGACAAAATCAACTCTGCTTTCTCGGGAAAAAGCAAGTTTCGAAATCAGGAGAGGGCTACGAACCTGGATGATGCCGACTTCGAAGGCACGAGGCTCGGAGACGACCGGGACGGCGAAGGAGATGAGCAGTACGGAAGCGAAGGCGAAGAGAGAGAACGAGGAGAGAGAGAGGAGCGCCATTTTCAAAGAAGGAAAGGAGAGGTGGTGAGAATGGAGAGGAGAGGAAAGAGAGACAAGGAGTCTAGGGTTTATAAATGCCTGACGCTCGTTGTCACGAACCGCAAGTGTTTTACCAGGACACATGGCATGACGACGAAGAAAGATCTCTAGGAAGAAGGGAAGTTCTCTTTTTTCAAAAAAAAAAAAATTAATATATTTAACATTTATATGATAGAACTGTTGAATTTTGACAAATATATTTAACATTTATTACATGAAGTTTCTCATAATTTGATATTTAAAAACATATACCATGATATTATGATACTGATTTCTTACAAAATAATAATTAATTATAGAAACTAGCAATTTAAACTCGTCTGATAATTTAGTCCACTAACCAACCATTACTTCAACGTAATTTTTTATTTGTGTAAGAAACATTTGAGGGATAAACCTATAACGAAAGTGTGACGTTATTTTGCAGTGTATTAATTGAATCTTCAAACGTTTGAAATGTGGAAAACAAAAAAAAAAGGGGTTTCCATTTAGAATATCAAACCCTACCAAAAAGCAAAACAACCCACCTCCCGTTAGATGGGCAGTACGAATCGGTAATAACTTACGAACTACTAAATAGCAAATACTTCATTTTCTAATTAAAAAAAACTGTAAAATTAAGTTTATATATACTGTCTATTGGCAATAATAGAAAGGAAATAGAAAGTTTTTTCGTATTTCGTATGTTATAAATAAAATATATCACTCACCTATTTTTATAGGTATATATAAGGAATTTTTTCGTAATAAAAAAAAGTAGCGGAGAAGAAAATAATATAGATTTCACTACATAATACATGTCTTATTTATTAGATGTCTACTTATATGTTTACGGCCGGATTTTTAAATTGTTTTCTAAGCTCGAACAACCAAAAAGAAAGAGAAATATTCTAATACTTTAATTATGAATATTGGGTCGTCAATGTGTAGGGCCTAATGGGCCGTATTTGGGTTACTAATGAGCTCTGAACAATACAGTGGATCGAGAATTCGCGTCATCCATATTGGGCCCAAATTAACGAGGAATTTTAAAGTGTTCCAATGCTTTAATTATATACACACACATGACATATATATATATATATATATATATATATATATATATATATTCGTGTGTGAGAGAAAAGGAGAGTACCCATTCCATGCACTTACAATTCCAATTCTATGGTTGGACTCATAATTTTAGCTTATCTTATATTTATTCATATTAAAAAAAAAAGAGAATAAAATATTATCATCTAGAAATTTTATGACACAAATTACTTCAACTTTATGAAATAAATAAATGGAAAAGTGCATAGATTCCTTCGATGGTCATTTTTTTTTTATTCTCTCTACGCCTTTATTTATACTTTTCAAGACTTTTAAGCTTTGGGAATCTTACCACATATTTCTTATATTAAATAAAAATAACTGATTTGCCTAACCAAAAGCACATACATCATCCATACTTACACTCACAACAAAACAAAGGATATATCCTCGTTATATAAATTCCCATTTAATATTTTTGAGTTTGAGGATTAATTTATTTACCTACCACATTTGAATCAGACAGTCATTAGCCACATCCAAACAAAACACCTATTGAGACATTAAAACTGGGTCCAATCTGGTAAAAACAAGTAATAAAAACCGATCTTAGATTAAAAATCAAATAAATAACGATTACAATGAAACAAAATGTTGGTGATTTCTTTTTATTTGGTCAATCGATTGGCCCACCGTAAAAGAAAATCATATTCATTATATTTGAATTTCAAAACAAAGTGTTTGAAGAACTTAAAACATGAGAGTTTAGGTATGAAACAGGGGCATATGCCATAATGCCACTACATGTAATAATGAAATCAAAATTAAATAAAAAAATCTGATCTTGCCTTATTCCACTCTATTAAATCTTAAAATTTACAGTATATATATAAGAGAAAAAAAATAAATAACAATGATAATATTCGGAATTTGTATTCTCATCTCCATTTGTACCAATTCTCTTGCTCCTTGAATCGCCTAAAAACCCCTTCTAACGCCACGTCAAACGCGTCCTTCAAACCCTCTAATCCATTCGGAGACCTCGCGTACACCAATCTCGGTATAGAATCGATCACCCTCTCTCTCATCCTCTCCACCTCCTCCCTGCTGTACCGTTCTAACACTTCCCTTATAGACGTCGTGCCGTTTTTTACCTCGTCCCGGTCAATGAAAACCGAGTAGCTCCCCGGTTCGTCCGGTAAGAACCACTTGTACTGCAAATAAGCGGTTCGGTGCCAGAAGACTACCGGAATTGAACCGGCCACCATGCAGTCGAAGATTGACCGGCGCGTGAAGCTGTCCCCACGAGGCTGTAAACAGAAATCCGAGTCGAGGAACGTCTCGAGAATCGCCGACGAACCATTCGAGCACCGACCTCCGCCGCAATCAACCGTGCGACACGTGCCACGCGACTCCTCGCAGTGGTGGAGGAGGAGCCCCCTGAAGTCGTTCTTTATCCCGGCGCGTGGGGCTCCGGCAAAGCAGAATAGGGTCCGGCGGCGACGCGTGCGGACGAACTCCTGCCACTTGACGATATCGGAGTTGGACCGAGGGTGGAATCCGGTCGGGTAGGGGACAGCTACGTCGAAGTAGTCCCATGGGTTCCGCTCGATGAGGAGTCGCGTGATGTTACGCATCCCGGGCAGGTAGATGCAGCTTGATCCCCAGTCCTGGTCATTGGATCGGCGGAAATCCCATGTGATGCGGCCCATGGTGATGAAATGATCCCAGCCGTTAGATCTGTTCCATTGTGGCTGTCCCTGGACCCACTCCGTCATCATGCGGCAGTGCCGGTCGCGATCCTCGGCGGTGTAGTTCGACCAGAGGTACTGCCCCACGGCAAGACCAGCGTAGAACGGGATGTAGAACGCCGTAGCGGAATCTGGCTCCGTGGTCCGACACCGGTGGTTCAGAATCCGGTTGTGGAAAATGATCTCCGAGACGAACTGATCAGTCCAAAACCATGCCGGGACCAAATCCTCCGGGATCACGCCGCTCAGAGACGTAGCTTCCTTGCCAAACCCTTCGTTGGAAAGGGCGTGGCAACGAGAGCTCCACGGATTAAGGTTGTCGCAGTGCTGCAGAATCACTTCGTTGAAGATCTTTGGCATCTCGTAGACGAAAACCCGACCCAATTCGCACCCATCCGAGTCTTCACCGGGTTGGGTCCGGGTCGAGAGAGGCGCCTCGAGGCTGTCTCCGGAGATGGAAGAAACGACGGCGGCGGGAGAGGGGAAGCTGTCGGCGGAGCGGTGGTGCGGGAAAGGAATGGAGCGGAGGGTGAGGAGGAGAAGGAGCTGGAGGCAGAGGACGCAGAGGAGGAGCCATAGGCGGTGGCTCCGGGGGGAGATGTAGGGACGGAGGAGGGAGGACGAGATGAGTGAGTTGAGCGAGTTCTTACGGTCGAGAGCGGTGTTGTCGGGTCCTTTGAGGAGCCTCTCCGGACTGGATGGATTGGAGACCGGAAGCATAATAGTTATAGTAGTTTCAGTTCCGACGCCGCAAAAATTGGGTAGTTGCGACGAACTCGAAACACTGGTGAAGTTATCGGTGCCTGAGATTGCGGTGTTTCTGTGGTTCCTATTAAAGCAGAGAAAGAGAGAGAAATCTTAAAAGAGCTTCGAGGAACGGGGAGGTTCTATTTTCCATTTTATTTAATATTTTTTTCTGAACAAAGGGGAAAATATATTTTAATTTTAAAAAAATAATAAAATGTTCATTGTAGGTTTGTGAATTTAAAACAACGGGTTTTCTCAAAAATTGTGATTGTGACACTCTGATCTTATGGGCATCTAATCTTATAAGCAAAATCCCTTCTTTTACACAACACGTCATTCCTTTTAATAATTTCATATTTCTACTTAAAAATGGATGTTTCCACAAATTATTAAAATAAATAATTTTACTTGGTACTAGATTCATAAACCTTTTTTTTCATTTCCTTCTATAAATTGAAGTCTTGGGGAAAGAGAAAGAAAAACGTGGTAAAAACGAAAACATTTATAAGAAAGGGGGGGGGTTTAAATCTGCAGTTTTTTGGGGTTTTGAGGCGTTACGGGGAAGAAGGGACACGTGGCAGTGAGATAACCGGGTGGGGAGGCAACCGACAAGGGGGAAGACCGAAATAGCCAGTAACCAGTCGGCACTTGCCTGCGAGTGATGCAAACTACGTGTCTTTGTCCTAAGTTTGTTTCGTAAGCAACCTGACTGAGCACTCTCTCTGTTTTAAGCCAGACCACAATCTATTCATTAGCTTCTCTATAACTTAATATATATATATATATATATATAATTATAAAATTGTAAATAAATCTATCGATTTGGTTAAAGCATTCAATGCCCATAACCAAAAACATACATGGACATGGAGAAGAAATAAAAAAGGAGTGGGGGTTCTACCAAGGGGCCGAAACGGTGCCGTTTTAAGTATAAAGGCAGCACAGAGCAGGCTTAGCTGTATTGACCATAAGAAAGAATGCCATCGACGTCTTCTCTACTGTCCTTGCCTCATGACACAACACGTCCCAACATATGAAATCACCCTCGCTTGCCGACAAACTATTTTGTCTTTTTTAAAATATTTTATCAGGTATATATATATATATATATATATATATATATTAATGCAAGGAAATAGCACCAAGAGAAGATTCAACATCTAGAAGATCTTAGATAAAAAGAGAAACATACCAATATAAAGAAAAGGAAAAACAAATATGATGAAACGAAATGGAAACCCTATGCAGGAGGCTGAGCATAAATATAGAGGCGTGCACAATAGAAGAGATCACCCAAGGAGAGAGAGAGTGTTTGAGTCGTGAAAGCTTTGGGCATAAACATATTTGTATGTGAAACACGGGTGAGTGATACTTGAGATAGAGTGAAGTGTATCTGAGAGGGAGCCTTCAAATAACATGCGAACCGCTCAAAGGGCCTAGACGAGTCTAGA